GATTTAGCCAAATTAAACAAAGATTGAATTAGCTTATCTCCTTTCTCTACAGCTTCAGCTCTCTGGCAATTCAGTTGTGAAACCTTTTCCCTTACCAGGTTTGTTGGTTTTTTTTCTTTTGCCAGGTCCCTGATTTTTTTTTTTTCAGCAATGTTGTGCCTCTGTAAAAATTTTGTTAAGCTTTTTGTCTGCTTCTCAAAATTTGCCATCCTGCTGACTTCACCAGTTTGTCTTGGGTGGGAGTGGAAGGCTTAGGCAAAATTTATTAAAAAAAGCCCTGCTGTTGAGTCACGAGGTGCAGAAAGGACTCCCTTGCTTTCTAAACTTCTCCTCAGAGAGGAGTCTAAGTGTGGCTGAATCTAATCAGCCACAGATTTGTGTGAAATGTTTAAATTTAGGGAATTACAGAGGTGTGATTGAACCACTTTTGTCCTACAGGTTTTAATGACTGGCAAAATGAGAATATTTATATAAAATGAATCATTTTTTATTACAAGCGATCAGACAGAAGATCTTAGTCAGAATTTTTTACTATACAATATAAATGCTAAAACTACTAGTAGTGTGATATAAGACAGTGCACTATATTAAAGCAATAATATCAAAGCTAGCAAAAAGAAATAACTGTTAAGTAGAGATTTTATGTAACCTCCCCATACCAGCGCTTGAGGGGAGATCTCTTTTGCTCAGCCTTGAAGAGAATCTTTGGAGGGCATCCCCACTCAAGGGAGGAAGCTCCACACATACACCCCAAGAAGGGTGTAAAGTAAGAAGAACCTGACTGTAGGAAAGGGGGCTGGACTTTTGTAGTATAAAGTGATTGATTGCTAGGCACAAGTTTACAGGCCAGCTACCAGCTTATCTGTCACATCCAACTACAAAAAGCAGGATGTGTGTTTGGGGTTTGGTGAACCAGGCTGGTTTTAGCATAATTCAACAGCAAAAAAACCAGCACCGTGGTGCCACTGGTAACTCACCACAGATAGCCTGCACTGTTTGCATTCTCTGAGTGGATTCTGGGTCTTACTGGGGTAAGACACAATATTTAAACATCAGGCAGTTCTTTTTGCAGGTGAGCTGGTTTCTCTGCATGCCTTTGTCAGCTTTGGTGACAACTTGATGCTTTACAGCTTCCTTCAACAATCGCAGAACGCTTTTTGACCACAGGATGTTGGGTGCAGTGGCACTGCTGAGCATGGAAGTTTATCTACCTTGTGTCAGATTTACATGTGTGTGGATGAGAAATACACCACTCTACTGTGAGTACTGTCCTGGTACTGTGTTCCTGCTCTTACACTCTACCTGCTCTAGCCATATTCCTCAACAGCGTTACCTCTTTTGTTGCTGTGTTTCTTCCGTAATGTAGCAACTACGGGTTTTTTTAGCTTTACCTGATTATCATCTCTGGAATATATAGTTCTTTTTTTTTTTTTCTTTAAAGGCATGAGAAAAACGAACCTTGGATAAGATCTGTGTTTGACAATGACTCTTGATAGGCTTCTTGCTCTGGTCTCTATACTGTGTACTTAAGCAAATCTGTATTCTTTTTTTAAATGTGTTTGCAGTACTGATTTTCATTAAGTATTTTATATGGTCTTTCAAAATAACTATGTATATATCTAGTCAGTTGGATGTGGAGATGTCTACATTTACTGAAGATGCAGTAATTTTACGGGAACTGTTGGGCACAGTTTCCACAATTGTATGCTAGTACAGAGAAAAAAAAATGAGTTACTTCTCTTCAGTAAAGCAGAATAAAGTTTTGTAGCCAGTACTTAGAAGGTGTCATGAATGAATGTCCTTAGGCAAAATGTTATTTATCTCAAAATCACTGCCTGATAAAGAATGGAAACTTCATATTAGCATGCTTGGTTGTGTTGATTGATTGAATTGCAAGTGTTTATGTGGTTTTTATACTAGCTTATGTTTGTTTATGTTCACTTTTTTTTTTTCATTTCTGTGCCTCTTCTCAAGACTATGAGGTTATTAGGTGTGCAGAGTTTCAGGTGAGAGGAGTTTGAGGAACGCTCTTGTACTCACAGTACTAGTTTTCTTCCATTAACTGAGGATTATTTGTAGTTAGTGAGCTTTCACGTTGTTTCTTCTCTAATCCTTTCAACCTCTACTGTAAGGACTATTGTAAGTTTTGGAAGATCTTTTGGGGCTTCCCATATTTTTGTTGGTAATGGCTGTAACAAATATCTTAATGAATATTCTTGCATGTTTGGGGGGTTTTTTAGAATCTTTTGTATTCAATCATGTGGTTGTTGACACTCACTTAGTGAAGAGTGATTTAGATGTATAGTTATCTGCTGAATTTTGGAATACTTTTGCAAGTTACTTGTGCCTACTCTTAGTTTTCTTTACTTAAATGTTATTTTTAAAATAAAAATAGTATGATAGAAGAGGACTTTAGGCTGGTTTACAAGGAAATAATTAGTCTTATTCGTAGTGTCAGTTTTCCGTAGTAATTTGTTGCTGCTTACATATGAATTATCTGAGAGTGGAAAAAAATCTGATAAATAATATTTATAGAAAATTGAATTATGTAAAATGGACAAAAAAAGCCCAGAAGGGCCTGTCCTTATAGGACAGTTGCAGCATGAGCTTTTAAGTTTTATAAAACTTCTTTAAAAAGCATTATTGAATTGTTTTCTCTGCTTCATATCTTTCCCCATCTTTCATCCATCCATCCGTAGATAAAACTAATTTTAAGAATTCTCAGTGTTCTAGAAGAACAGTTAGGGTAGAAGAGAAATTAAACAGTTTACAGAAGAGATGTACTTTTTGGTGTAACAGTAAGTATTGTTGTTGTGGATATGTCTATAAAAAAATCTAGTTATAGGCATGTTTTTTGTACTCAATGCAGTGGAAAATCTAGTTGGCTGTCATGACAGGTACTATCATAAATGTAGTAATGTTACTTCTCTTAAGTGTTACAGCTTTTTACAATGGTTACATTTTCCCTTTCCTGTTTGATGCTTTTTGTTTTCACCAGCACTTTCAGTTTTCTGGTTCTTTTCCTTTTGATTTCTTTTTGTCTTGTGTGACAGTAATTAGATTTTACAAAGAAGACTGAGAGAAATTTCGTGTTTGATTGTAGTGTAGAGGTGGGGATTTTTGTGTCTTTTTTAAAGGTTCATTTAAAATTTGAAATGCTTATTAGATGCTGTGTTATATATTATGAATTCCTCAAAAAACCCTTTCATTCTGTTTAAATGTAGCAGGAACGTAACTTGGCTGATGAAATCTTCACATTAGGAAGTACAACATTCTATCAGAGTAACGTGTTAAATTGAGTTATGCTCAAACTAAATATTTAATTCACTTTTCAAGTAACAGAAGGTGGTGTTTGACTGTCGAAAGCTGCTTTTTAGGGGTTTTTTTTTTGGCAGTTGCAACATTGGAAGCTCTCTATCAGTGCTTCAAGTACTCCACAAGCTGTTTTGAAAACATGGTGCGTGCCTTGTGAAGATAAGTGAAAAGGAGGGTTGAGTGTTCTCTGCATACACTGCTAAAAGGAACTAGTATTACTTTTAACCTTCCATGCTGTGGAAGTGTAATGAACTGAATTGAATATTGGAAGTGATTATAAGGGAAAACCCAAAAGCAGCATATATGATACATGTGTTATCTGTCTGAGAGTTCTTTCTTAAAAGACATTTAAAGGCTTGTCTGTAGCTGTAATCTCCCTCATGAGTTTTGCTGAGGTGTTCACCCAAAATATGTCCTCATCTATAATATTTCCCTGTGTTCCCCACCACTGTGGATTTAGTCTTCAGCTTTTTCATTTTGTCCTGTTCCTTTTTACTGTGTTTTTTTTTACCTTCTTGTAATAAATACAGAGTTTGTTAAACTGTGTGTGCTGTAATCTCTGAGGAATATGATAAATTATGGTTATGGAGCAAACAAATTAGAAATATATAATTTATATTGCACTGCTTACTTCTCATAAGCTCTTGTAAGAATAGAATGTCATGAATAGCAGTTTCATGGGGAATTAATCACATTTAAATTGATTGGAAATTAAGTATTTCCTAAGTTAACAAATCTTGTTATAAAGTATATGAAAACACTTAAACTGTTTCCTACCAAAAACAAGCCCTTTATGGTTAACAGTGTGTGGTGTATAGGACTTTCCCCTACCACTTCTCAGTGGGGAAAGCTCACAGTTGTGTAACTTTTGGGATTTTTTCCTCAACTTTTATTTTCACAATACATTTGTACCTTTTGTTGGTGAAGCTGAGCGTGCAGTGTTCCATAAGGAAATGGGAAGGGCAGGTAATGCTGATGCTATACGCTTTACCGGGATCCAAACTGGTGCAGTGTTACTATTTCCATTGGAAATGGATCTTTTTCTTCCCTCTTTCTTTTCAAAAGTTCACTAAAAATGTCTGTGTGCCATGAAAATAGGTTGAGTAGTGAGTAACCAGGAGCATAGCTGGCAGTCTGAGTGTTTTGGGGTTTTTTCCACAGTGTATTTTAATGTGCCCATGTCCTCCGCCCTCCCCATGTTGTGAAAGTTTCCCACATTTGGAACCTGAGGATTTACATTGGTTACAGTTTTATTGTTGTTGGGAGCTGGTTACAACCTCTGTTGAGCAATAGGATGATGGGGTAGTCCCGTGTCAGCTGAAGTGAGTCTCCACAGCTGTGCTCAGTTACAGAAACTCTGGGGTGACTAGTGAAGTGTAATCTAAATGTTTGGTTTGTTGAGGTAAAACTTTTCATTAGTAATATATTTTCCTTTCAGGATAGTTCCAGATGTGAGGGCACTTCTTAGTAATATTTTTTTCCTTCCTTTTAAAGGGAAGAAGGACGCAGTTGAAAAGAGATACAGTGTAAAAATCAGACTTGGAAATTCTGTCAGATTTTGCCCTCTCTAGCAGAGCTGCCTTCTCTCTAGCTCTTTTTTTTTTTTTTTGCAAATACTAGGAAGTTCGGGAATAACTTCAAGACAGTTATACAATATTTATAACTTTGAAATAAACTCATATATAACTTTTACTGTTGTTTATTATCCAATGAATACTGTTATTTGAGAACTTTGGTCTGTCACAAAAGTGGTGAGATTCCATTGTCATGTGATTTGAATCATAGTGATTCATTAGGAAAGCTAATTTGTAACAAACATGACAAATTAAATAAAGAGCAGAAGAGGGGAAAAGAAGGCTGCATTAGGGAATTAAGGTAGGTGGAAAATTTAAATTTAAAACAAAAACACCAATCTACTGGAGAGAAAATTAGTGTTTTACCAATACCTGGTTCATTTACGAGGCAAAATACTTTTGAAAGAAGACAGAACACAAATATTTTAGTCTGTACTCTGTGAATCAGTAAACAGAAGTAGCTCACATAGTATTTCAGTAAATTTTGGTTTAATGCATCTGTTTTATTTCTCTTTACATTTTCATATTGTTGAAGTTAGAATATACTGATTACTAAAAATGAAAGCTTAGATAATTGCTAGGTGTTATGGTAAATTTATGACTCTGAATCGCATGCTTAGGAAAGAACTGTCCTTTTATTGCTGAAGTCCCTTTTTTGGTCTGTGAGACCACAAAAACAATGTTAAGATGTACATATTAAAGTTTGGGTGCTTCAAATGGTCACAAGCATGTATTTGTGTGTTAACATGTATGAAGTACTGAGTACTAATCTGAAGAAGAATTAGACCAGGCATTGCATGTTTAACAGCTTGCTTGTGTTTTAGTATCGATGGGTTCCTGTTGGATGTGACTCACGTGTACAGTTTGGCTTTTTGTTCCCCCAGATTTGAAGCACAGAAGCATGCTTTCCCCTGAGCCTTACACTACCATTTGTGATACAGAATGTCTCTAAGAGAGAACAACAGTGTGGTTTTTGCATATGAATCTTCAGTACACAGTACCAATGTACTCCTCAGTCTCGATGATCAAAGAAAGCAAGATATTCTTTGTGATGTTACAATTTTAGTGGAAGATCAGCGATTTCGGGCTCACAAAGCTGTGCTTGCAGCTTGCAGCAGTTACTTCCTTTCAAGAATTGTGGGCCAGGTGGATGCTGATCTTATCATCACTTTACCAGAAGAGGTAAGTGTCACTCCCTTCTGCGTTTTACCTGCCAGTGCTTCTGCTCTTTTTTTTCTCTTTTGCAGTAGGCTGGTGCTTAACTGACAGGTTAAGGTAAAGGGTTTAAGGACTGAAGGGAAGGAGTTTCCAAGTTGTAAAGCTATTGTTGGTTGAGGTAAAGGCTAGACAGATGAGTGTTTGTCCCAGACCACAGATAATTGAATGCTGTCATGGGAAATGTATAGGGAAGATCTTTTCAATTAAGTATATACTACTTTTAAAATTATGCACCTCTTTCAAAGGATGTAAGTTTGTCAAAAAGCAGGGCTCAAATGGTCAAGAGATATTGTAGAACTAGTTGTTCTATATAAAAAGAATATTTTTTTTTTAAGTAATAAATTAAAGCTTAAGATGGTAATACCTTTGAATCGGTTTCATTAATACCATTTCATCGGTTTGTATGTTTGAGTAATACAACTGTGCATATATTCCTGGCTGCTTACTGTTGTTAACAGTTTTCTTTGCCTCAGTTTCCCATCCTTTTTACACATTGATCATTAGCAGCCTGTGTCTTATTAGTGTTAGGACTGAGAAAATGTATTGCAATTACTTGTTATGCCCCTAAAATACATATTCTTAGATTTAATTTAAAGGCATTCAATGGGAATGAGCCATAACCTGACATCCGTTGGAAAGAACATTTATTGTTCTGTATCTGGAGCATCCAAGACATTTAATGATTGTAGTTGCTATTTAGTTGAGTTGTAAGAGGCATGAGACAAGTAACTGGATTTTAATATGAAGTGCTGTGCTTGTAGATGAGAAGTGAAGAACCTCCCAAGTGCTCCACCTGTGCCGAATGGGAGTGGTAATCAGAAAAGTTGGTTGTTAAATAACAGATGGATTTCTGGGAGGTGGTTTATGGTAATTAGCTTGGACAGTGTGCAATAACATGCAGATTGTTTTCAGCTCAACTGAGATCATTAGAGTTGGAGGAAAGGTACTCATCAGTGAATATTTATAGTGACATTATAGACTTCATGTGCAAGAGTGAGTTGAGTGTTAATGCAGAAATTATGTATTCAGAAAGGCTGTACTCCTGTAGCTACTGCACAGGCTTTGTAACATACTGAGATGAGCACAAGATTCTGTGCCTGATTCTGTGTGTTTTCACAGAAAACTAGAAGAGATCAAGTGTTCTCTTTAAAGAGTTTCTGTGGTCTTTGCTATTCTCTCTTCACCAATGAATTGGTTATAAAATTGTTACAGCATAATACCACTATGTCAGCTTTTACTCACACAGCCTTCTTGCTGTGTCTGTGTTTGTTTCTTATGTGTTTTTTTTTCTAGTGGTTTAGTATGTTGATAGCCTGAATGTCTCTCAGGTTAAAAGAAAGGTAATGATGCAAGCTGATGTGAAAGGGAAGTAGGATGCTGTGGGATGCAAAGCCTTGATTTGACATAAAGGAGGGAAATTAGTGGCATGAAAAATTTCTGATGTTGAAAAGGGAATTTTTTCCCTCTTTGGGAATGATGTAAAAATTGCATATTGGAAGAACAAGAAATGTACATTAAATTTGGGGAAAGAATAAGAAATGTACATCAAAATTGGAGAGAGGAAAAATAATCTCTGGTGCAAAGTAACAGTGTGCCAATGAAACCATGAAATAAACCTGAGTCAGAAGGGACCAGAGTTTGTACAGAAAATGCAGAAACATAATTCTGATATTTACTGTAGTATAGACTTAAGAGGACTCCTAATGTATTTAGCATTACTGATGTAAGAACTGAATCTGCTGAAACAACTAGCAAAAATTTTAACAGTGAATCTGACCTCTTAATAACTCAAACTGATCACTTGGTTAAAAGCATTTTAAGACTCAACAACTTGAACTTCTCTTCTGGGAACTGCTAAATATTTTGAAACAGGTCAGTTTGTGAAGCTGCATGTTTGAGACAAACACTGATCACATGGTTTGACATGTGATTTTTTTTTTAACCTTTTTAATCATCAAAAATATTTGAGGTTTAAAATGACACCAGCCAACAATCTGAGATACAAAAATATTTTTTGAATTCAAGTACTTCAAATATACTGTACTGTAAAGACTAACTGCTGTAAGCTCTGTGTTGTTTTTTTCTGTCAGTGTTTTTACTCTGCGTTAGACTTTTATCCCAAATACAAATTAAATAAATGGCTACTGCAAGAGTTACTTTTCTAGATCAGTCAGACCAAGTCTTTCTAGGATTCTCTCATGTTTGAGCATAGCTAGCTAGAAATGTGTAAAAGAGAGTGAAAAGAGTAAAGTATTTGTTCCCTCTCGATCCTTCCAGTTTTTAGTAGTATTTCTACCTAAATAGAAAGAATGTACAGTTTTAAAATACCTTCAGTTTCACTTATGAATGCTACTTGTTCATAAACCCACTTTAATGATTTATTAACTACACTGAGCTTATGGATAAACTGTCTTTTATACTCTACTTCCCCACATTATTGAGGATGAATTCGTGTAGTAGTGTCTCCAGACTACTCTCCAGAGCATATTTCAAATGCTATTTTAAGAATTCTTTAGGTAGTTCAGAAAAGTTTTGATGAACTGTCTCTGTGCACATTTATTCAACTTCCTTTCATGTGTTTTGTTCCTTAAAAAAACCACAGCAAACAAGCACTTAAAAAACCAAAGAAACAACCCCTAGACTGCTTCCTAAATCAAATTACTTATAAAATTAATTATTTTGGTGGCAGAAGAATTCAGTGTAGTTTATGCATTGATATAGCACTTTATTTAGCATAAAATGTTGTTCATTTCAGTAAAGGAGGGGAGCAGAATGTGGACTCTAGTTTGAGTATTAATAGCAGACATCCTGCTTTATCCTTCATTTTCAGAGAAAGGCTAAAAGAAGTGTCATGTAATTTGTAATATGGTGATCTGTTTGCAGCTTCCTACTTGATTCTTTAGTATTTTTTTATGTGTAGAAGATCTTGTTCAATTTGTAATGACACAGTTTTTTTGTTTATCTCTGGTTTCCCTGCTTGGCAACTGTTGTGAAGATTAGAGATGTTCAATCAAAATTACCTACTCCAAGGGGGTTTTAAACTGAGAATTTGTTTTGATGTACAGTTTTTGGGTGCAATTCTTTTAATGTGTGGGAGGAAGAGAGGAGTTGATGGCTATACTAGTAAATAATCATATGTGGTCAAACTCCATTTTTTTGAACTTTCTTATATCAGTGATGCAGGAGTGATTAATGGTAATTGCTCTTCAAAAGGTACAATTAAATACCAGCGGCATAATCTTATTCTACAGTAATTCATATGCAACTTGGCTTTGAAAGACATCTTTGTGAAGTTGGAATCCAGTTACTGGTTTTCAGTGTACAGCAATATTTTTTACTTCTTAGTACTGCGTTGCCAGAACATTTTATTGAGAGATTGATCACAGTGAAGAAGATAACTGTCACAAAATGTGCAGGATAAAACAGTATCAGAAGAATTGCTTCAGAATGCGTCTGGCCAGGTTTTCTCTGTAGAACAAATCTGCTGCTTTAGTCTTGCAGTCTGTCCTGCTGGCAACAGGTAGTTTGGAGTTTGTGTATTTCTCTGCTTAAACCCTTATTGACCATACTAATATTTTCCTTCTTTTTTAATAGGTAACACTTAAAGGATTTAATCCTTTGCTTCAGTTTGCATATACAGCTAAACTTATTTTAAATAAAGACAATGTGTCTGAAGTTTGCAAGTGTGCGGAGTTCTTGGGTGTACGCAACATTGAAGAGTCTTGCTTTCAGTTTCTCAAATTCAAATTTTTGGACTTTAAGTTGGATCAGCAGGAATGTCCTAGGAAGAAGTGTTGCCCACAGCGTTGTCAGAAAGCAAACTCTAAAACCGGCAATGTGGATGATGGAGACCTGGAAATAAAGGATGAAGCAGAAACACTTTTGGAAAAGGAATATAGTCAAATTCCTGACACAAAGCTCTGTAAAGATGAAGAAAATGCTACATCATTGCCTGCTCTCCAAGATAATGCCAATCAAAACTGTGATCCTGTACATTTAGAAAGGGGTAGGGTTTCCAGCTTATCTTCCCAGTGCCCAAAGTATAGGAAATTCCAGAAGGCTTTTGGAAATGACAAAGTTCATACTTCAGAGTCCAATTCCAGTATTAAAGACATTCAGGTGCCACCATTTGCCACTTTTCCTGATAAGGAAATATCTGATAATGATGGCATACAAAAAGCTCAAGAGTGTGTACCTGTACAGCTGGTCTCGAACTGTGAAGAGACTTGGGTAAAAATGGAAGAAGGGGAAGAATGCATTCAGAAAAAGGAGGAGTCAAAGAGAGATTCTGTGACTCAGAATATGTCTTGTCCTGTAGAGAAAATGGATCTTGCTGCTTTTCCCCAAAACTCTGCTGCATCTCACGTACTCAATTCTGTGTCTATTTTACATACTTGTGAGCAATATGGTAACTTGAAGTTCAGTAGTATGCAAAACAACACAGTCTTAGCTGACAAAACCGTATCAGGTACTGGAACTGGGAATGACAAAATTGAAAGTCAAGGTGACACATCCTCAAAGGTCGATTTGTACACGAGGGAAGCCACTAACATCACATCAGCTGGTGATCGAAGCAGTGTGGAGAGAGAGGTAGCAGAGCATCTGGCAAAAGGGTTCTGGAGTGATGTTTACAGCACAGAAGCCTGTCAAATACATTTACCACCTACAGTTCCCAAAGAGTGCTTGGAGCCAGTATATTCGGGGAAAAAAACGGAATGTCCGTGGCTGGGTATCAGGATCAGTGAAAGCCCTGAACCTTGCTCTCAAAGAACTTTTACAACACTGAATTCTGTCAACTGCCCCTTTATAAGCAACCTTAGCACTGAAGGATGTTCCAATAGCTCTGAAATAAGCAGTGGAGATTATGTTCAGGGACAACAACAAGAACAGTGTCCCTATAATTACGTGATAAGTTTGGGAGAGGATTCAGAGACTGATACCGAGGGAGACAGTGAATCCTGTTCAGCAAGAGAACAAGAATGTGAGGTAAGAACATCCTGGTGTGTCCTTTGCTTCCCTGTCTTTTAAGTCCCCCTATTCAAAAATATTTTGAGTCTTTTGTGGGTTTTGTGGTTTTTTTGTCCTGTGGCTGCTTGTTTTAAAAGTCTGGGAGTTAAAACTTTAACCTTCAAAGGTTTATATGAAAGGTCACTGCTAATTCAGGGAGACTTACCAAGTATTTTTGGTAGGATATTGAAGTGTTAGATGCTTATGTATTAGATCTTTTAAGATACTTTTCTCAAACAGCTGTATCAGAAAAGGTTGTGAATCTTAGAAGAAAAAAAACCTAAAAAAGAACCTCTGCGCCTTGATTTATGTGCTGCAGTTAGCTTAAGAAAACTAAACTTCTTGGAACCTTTGTTTTATAGAAACTTAACAGTTTTCTTGGTTATATTCTGAGTTGTAGGGAGAAGGTAGGAGAGAAGTGATACTTCAGATTTACTATGAAATGAAAATTAAGCTTTCAAGCTGGCTTCAATAGCTGTATGTTTAAGATAGTTTCAGAGAGGATGATATTAAACGAAGGTTATATTTGTTTCTCCAACTGCAGTAATTATTTGGCTCTTTCTTTCTTTGTTATTGCTTTGTTAGTGGTTTAGGCAGATGCCATATAAGTAGTCTAATCCTAAAAGATTTTGCGACATACCTAAAACAATTTCTGTCTCAGTTCTCAGAACTGTAGAATTGCAATGTAACTGTGTATGGTGGATCATTTAATGATATGAAAATTGAGTTGTTCTTAAAACACTAGTTGTTTTTTCTTTCTGAGATGGAGGGCCTTACTGAGACTGTAAGTGCAAGCTGCCATCAATATAAAAAGCTGGCCTGCCAAACAAAAGGCCAGAATTAATTAAATACATTTCTCATCTTTATGTGACAGACAAGGTGATGGCATCATTCCTGAAGACAATGCTCTGTCTTTTTTCTTCTTCTTTTTTCTTTTTTTTTTCTTTTTTCTTTTTCTTTTTGTTTTTTCTTTTTTCTTTTTCTTTTTGTGTTTTCTTTTTTCTTTTCTTTTTTTGTTCTTTTTTCTTTTCTTTTTTCTTTTTGTGTTTCTTTTTTTTCTTTTTGTGTTTCTTTTTTT